CGCGCCGCTCCCCTGAACACGTGAGACTTCTGGAGGACGTTTGCGATCTGAACCCTAACAGTGACACACACCTAACCCTAAGTATGCCACAGCAGCGGGTCTTCTATCCGAAACCAACATTCGCTCTCTCCACCCAGGCGCATGGACTTACTGACGTGGGTTTATAAAGTAAACGGAGCTGTTGCTAAGATGTGTGTTTTACGAGCTCACTAAAACATGAAATGTAAAGACATCGTAGAGTTTTGATACCGACAGTAGTCTAGGAAATCACATCAGATTTGTGTCTATTTAAATGAAATTCCCTGTGGCATTTGTATTCACAGCTGCGTTTTAATAGGCAGGACTCAGTGGAAAGACAAAGCGCTTTTTTTCCTCTCATTTTAATGACAAAAGAAACTCCACAGGGAAATACTCCGGAGGCTCAGAGTTTATCTGAACACTGCTAATTTATACAGATCCATGATCACTCTTTATGTAAACGCCCTCCTCGTTCGCTGTATTTTACTACTTTAATATCTTTCTGTCATATGGGATTTCTAAGAGGCATACTTATTTATTAATTTATCGACAAGTTATACTTTCAAAGAACAGGCAGGCATAAGGAAGTGGCAGTTTTGAACCATGCCTGCTGTGAAATGCCTCACATTCTGTGAGACTGCGGAAGAGTTTGAGGGTAAAGCCATACCTGTGTTTTGGGAATCATTTCAGTGTCGTTCATTTGCTATAAACCTTTGTGCCTTTCATTATGTCCAGTTAACTCACTGATCACATTGCACAAAACATTCGCAGCCTATACAGTTCTGCCCCCAGGTACACACTGAGGGTGGTAGTTCTTGTCCTGGCTAAGCTGAGGCCTTGGGCAGATGAACCCACTGCCACTCGCATGTCCTCTCAGCAGCAGTCAGTGCACGCGGTCTCCCGGGAAGAGGGCTGCCGACCACTGGGACACCGTGCACACGGTCTCAGGAGAGCAGCTCAGTTCCACACGTGACCTCAGGACCGCCAGTCAGAGGAGAACAGTGAGTGAGCGTGCAGGAACGGGGATTATATTCCTTCTGCAGTCTTTCCCAGCGTGGCAAAGCCTGGTCCCCATCTTCCTGGGCGTGGCTTCTGACGGTGTCCTGTGTGGAGGGGTGAAGCCAGTCTCCCCACCCATCACCCCTGGGAGGAGCACGACTCGGCCTGGCATGAACCACTGGGCAGCTGGTGCTGTCTCTTGTCACATGGCTCAAGGTCTCAGGAGGGAGGAGCAGCCCGTCGCAGGGCACTGTCCACACAAGAGAGCCAAGCTCAGCTGGAGGCGTGACCGGAAGTGGTGGCCGTGGTGCTGGGCAGCCTCACCTGGGCAGCATCCTGTCCCTGGGTTTCTCCTGTGTCAGGAGGGCCTCCCTCCTCCGCCAGCCTGCTAGACAGCGAGCTCAGCGTCCACTCAGCCAGCATCGTGCTGGATGCATCCCCAGGGCCGGGAGAGAGTGCATCTAAGTGGATAACGACCCAGGGGCCGGGCAGGGAGAATGTCAGCACACTGCTGAGACATTTGTCTGTGTGACACATCATCTGTTCTTGCTGAACAGAAGATCAAGTGGACTCAAAACAGCCAGGTTTTCTCTTAAATCAACCGCTTCTGGGATATCCGTGTGCCGTTTTCTCTAATTTAACCCTGAGAAAGAAGAGAAGATGATAAACATGCATTTGTCAGCACCTTCAGTGTTCTGGTGCTGTGGGAGGACTTTAGGTGTCCACTGTGTGGCGTGGAAACCGTCACGTGTCGGGACCTCCTCAGAGTTAATCAGCTTTCCTGAGCATCCTCGGTTTCCCTAGAAAAATGCAAAGATCTTATGCTAAATTTGCTATTTCAGGACACGACTGCCCAGAGTCTTCAGGTCATCATGGATTAGGAGTCCCGGGTCGCCTCCTGGCCACCCATCAACCCAGCTTTCAGGAGACAATTTAGGGCACAGAAGCATAACCACTTTATAAAGGACAGGAAGAGCAAGATTAAAGGAGGACAGCTCAGAAAGGTAGTGAAGCTTTAGAGACAAATTAATATAAAACCCCAGAATGCAAACCTAAAAAAAAATAGCAGCTTTACCAAAGAAACCTGCCAGAATTTTAGTGTAGACAGTGGTGCGTCCTGACTCCTCATTTCCTTGCAGTTTTAGGACATCGCATGTCACACCCGTGTGCAGTTCTCAGCATGCTCTCCTCTCAAGCGCTTGCTCCTGCATTCAAATGTGTCATGAGTGTGAGATCCCGGGGGAGTCCTATGCACCCCATTAAGTAGAGAAACCCCACCAGAGTTTTGGACAGGACCCCAGAGTAAATGTGTGCCATGTGGGGCTGAAGTAGATGCGATTTCCCTGAAGGATTTCCATGACTTTCCCGAGGTTCTCTTCATTTTCAGATTCAGCCCCTAACACCAAATGTTCATGAGCCCTGCACTGGGGGTGTTATGTCAAAAAACTCAGATCCAGGGTACTGGGCAATATTTCTTTCCCCACCATGGTGATGCTATCTTTGCTAACAGCATTAGGGAAATAAAAGAAAGTACACTCTAATCAGCAGCAATACTGTTCTCCAGGAAATACTTTACAGTTTCAGCTTTCACAGGAAGGAATAAAAACCAGCGTCTTCACACTGACGAATCTGATTAGCGTGGGCACCTGGAGGAGCATGATTTTACACCAGAGCTTCTCTGGGGCTTTGTCTCTAAGTTCCAAAACAAATATCAATGTGTACAAATTCAGCCAGTTCAGCGAGTAGCAAGTGAGGCACACCATGCCTGGCCGCATTTTGTGATGAGGCACATAATTTTTTAATTTCTTCATTGCATAATCTTTGTATTGTATGCAAATGTTAGATATTTTTCTCCTCTCCTGTATGGTTCTGTAAGACTGGGTGTTCACATTCAGAGGTCGTAAACATGGGCTTCTGTGTGATTAGATACGAGGACCTGAAGACAATGTGGGGTATGGCTGGAGAGGAATTAGAAGGCAAGCAACATCAAACAACAGACTTCACTGCAGAACTATTTTGTAGATAATTGCAGTAAAGTGTCCATGTATTTTCAAAATGTTAAAATAATGAAATTTTGCAGTCGGTGGAATTATAAACTAGTGCAGGAAGCAGTCACCATTCTGTGGCTCTGTGGGGCGGGACCATGTTTTGGAAAGAGGCAAAGGACTAGGAGGAGCCAGCAGCAGCAGGAGGCTGGAGCTGGGTGCGGGGCTGTGGGCCCGGTCTCCTGCAGTTGGCCCTCCAGACCCCAGGGGGCGCAGCTCACCTCGCGGTGCACAGAGAAATGGTAAGCTCCAGTCCCATGGTAAAGTTTATTCTCTAATTTTGTTTCAATTAAAAAGCCACATTTGCATTTATCATAATGCACTGTGCTTTCACTATAGGCAAGTTTTCAGACTGTATCCAGAGAGATTTATCAATCTTCTTACAAAACAGTAGTGAATATGACTTTGGTTTTAAAGGCTGTTGTGTGGTATTCTTCTGTATATAGTCTCCCACAATTGTTACCTGCACTTATGTGTGATCCTGTGTACATTCCTTACGTGTACACTTACATATGCTCGGCCACTGCTACCCAGAGGTTGCATAGATTCAACAAACCGTGGCTCAATTTTTAAAAATTGCATTGTACCGCAACGTGGAGATGTCCTCCTCGTCACTCTTGCCTGATCACCACAGTGTGACAGCACGACATGGCATTTGCACTGTGTGGAGGTCGTAAGTGAGCAGACACCATGGGAGGTATACCAAGGCTGTGGTCCTTCGGGTCCTGGGCCCGACAGCAGCCCACACAAAGACCCAACCTGCACGGTCCCCTGCATCCTGGCCGGGAGCCGGGCCTTGCTCATCCTCTCGGGCCACGTCCATATCCTGGGCTGGAAGCACCTGTCGGAGCCTCTGCAGGGCCCATGGATCCTTCGGGTTGGTCAGCTGCTCTCCACTGGGCCATTGCTGCTGCTGCAGAGCTCTGTATGGCCCCGTTCAGCATGTACCACCACGGGCTGTAACAGCCCTGTGCTCCACAGTGGGTTCTTCCTCTCTACCCCAAAGGAACGCATCCCCCCTCTGCAATGCAGGCTTGGGTAAGATTCGGGGAACACTGGTCCAGGGGTTCCAGGCCTCACCAAACCTCCCTGCCCTCCTCAAGGGGGCAGAGTCAGGGGCTCGAGTTCGCCTTCACTCTGGGCTCTGGGCCCACACCCTGCAGCAGCTGCCTGGGGAACTGTGCACGACTCCTTTCTGGGTGTGAGTGACTGCAGAGTGGGGCCTCGCTTCTGCTCCACCACCGGCCTGAGGCTGAGCACAGGTCACGGGTCCTGCTGCCCCCGCAGTGTAAGGGTATAGGGCGGGGTCCCAGGGGCAGCGCCCTGAGCCTCCACCCTCAGACTCAGAGTGCGTCCACCATACCGCGGCCACCGTCCTGCTCTGGGCTTTCTACAGGGACAGGGCCGCCTCCGAGCTGACTCTATGTCCACTTCCATCAAGAAGGGCTGTCACCTTTGGCTGCTCTCTGCACATGCAGAGAGCCGTTAGGAGGCACCGAGGCAGGTGACCCGGCGGGACAAACCTGCCACACTGTGGCATTGCCCTCCAGTAACAGCTGAACTAGAGGGACGCCAGCCAGTTCCACTCCACCACAGCTAGGACACAAGAGCTTAACCAGGAAACTCATGTGAGCACTCACTGAAACATCCAAGAAAACAGCCAAGGAAATTAGGCTTGTGCCCTTAGCATTGCTATCAGAACCGACTTAATGTTGACATTTTTGGAGGCACTGTGGGAGGAAGCGGAAGTAGAATTCATCCAGGGTGTGAGTTTCACAAGAGGCTCCTGTTTTGTAGGCCCTTATTTTGTGAACTTCCTATGATGAGGAGCGAGCCTTCTGTGACTCGTTTTTATGTTTGTTTGTTTGGTTGGTTGGTTGGTTTGGTTCTGTAGTTACAGCTGTCTCTGAGTGACATAGAAAACGTTTTGTGTTCCAGTGGTGAACTGTTCAGATCCAGGCTTCGTGGAAAACGCCATTCGACATGGGCAGCAGAGCTTCCCCGAGAGTTTCGAGTTTGGCACCAGCGTCCTGTATCACTGCAAGAAGGGCTTCTACCTTCTGGGCTCTTCGGCCTTGACCTGCACGGCGACTGGCTGGTGGGACCGCTCTCTGCCCAAGTGCCTGGGTGAGTGAGCAGCAGGTGCTCATGCCACTCGGCCGGAGCAGAACTGACGAGGCAAACTCTAACCCTCACGTCTGTGCTCTGCCCCGAGCCTCCACTTCTGTCAGTTCTCGCGAGAGCTGGGATAGATTGCCAAGACCCAGAAATCATACCTCAGAATTGCTCACGATGGAGGGAGGGGAGACGCTGGGCGTTCACACACCTGCGTGGTGAACACAGGCAGGGAGGCTCTGGCCCGCGTGCACTGGCTGTGCCTTGCCTCAGCCGCATCCTGAGACAGGCTGACTCCTCTCCCTTGCAGTACGGCCTCAGTGCCCTCGGCACCACCGTCCTGCCTCAGCCTCCGGGCTGTGCCATGGGGTCTAGAGGTGCCGAGTCAGCATCCGTGGCCACCGGTGGGGTCCTCAGAGGGCAGGACCAGCCCCCCATTCCGGTGGGAAGGCAGCACCGGCAGAAGCTTCCCCATAAACCAGGGAGGGGACTGCGCGTGCGAACCTCCTCCTTTCGGGGCAGCCTGGACCACAGTTCCCATGGCGACCCCCAGTGCACTTTAGAAGACGTAGATGAACGAGTAGCCATTGTCTGATTTTCTTTCACTTGAAAAATCTGACTGCCCTTTCGCTCAAGCAGCACGATCTTTTAAAAGCCCAGCCTGGAAATTTAGGAAATAAATGGAATTTCCCTCTTTGGCCCTTTTAAGTTCAGACAGTGCCTTATAGTCTACAGAGAAATTGCCTCAAATGCAGACCTTATCATGTGATTAATTTCTGTGCAGAAAGTGAGTAACTTTCAAGAAGGAAACACCCGAGTGCATGTGAGAAGTGCGGGCCTCAGAGCGCCGCAGCCTGTGTGGACCCTGTCTGGACTCTGCTTCCCTGCCTCAGCCGTGGAGGCCTCTCGGGGAAACTGGCCTTCTTCTTCCTTCCGTTCCTGCTAAGGCTCCACAGCTCCTGCGAGACGTCCGTTAGGCCTCATGCTGAGCTTGGCGCTGAGGCTGCGGGAGCCTGCAGCCGGGCTTCCCTGACGCTGCGCACTGCCAGGTCCACGGCTGGTGCTGACCAGGGCCACGGGAGCCGCAGCCCGGACTGTCACTGCCACACAGGCTGGGAAGGCTCAGGGCACCTTCCCTGCCGCCCGGTGGTTTCACTGACTGTTTTCCTTTCCTTCTCTGTTTCTCCTAGAATTGGTCATTGCCACAGTTCCAGAGTTTCGGGTCTAATTGCCTTCCTTTTCAGAGTCTGTAGCTGAACCCATGTCCCAGTGAAGGCAAGACAGAGAGGGAGAGCTGGGGTCGCCGGGGCTGGGCGTGCTGAGCCCCGGTGACTTCACTTCCAGTGCCGCGCCCACCAAAGTCCCTCAGAGTGTTAAGCGATTCAGCGCAGTCCTGACTAGGGAGCTCACTGCTCGCAGCTCTGTCTGGTGATTTATGGGCTCTGTAGCTACCTCTTCACTCTCCCACACTAATCTGCATTCCAGAGTTTTCTTTTTCAGGGATATTTATGGGCCTCACTTGGAATAATTTAAGGAGAAAGAATGGAGACCCTGAGATTATTTAATAGAATAATTTGAAGAAAAGTTAATCTTACGGTTTTTTAACTTACACTTTTTAGATGCCTCCTATTCAAAGAAAAATTGGGCCAGGGATTTAGCTCTGTGGTTTCACTGCCTGCTGCGCAAGCACAAGGACCCAAGTTCAATCCCCAGTACCAAAAAAAAAAGAAAAATTACTAGAATGGTTTTCTTAGACTTATGAATTTGAAGACTAAGCAGAGTTTTGTCTCTAAGCAAATAATTTTGTGTTAAGTAAACACAAAGGAAGTAGTATGAAGGGACTCATGCTATGATGTGTCCGTGCGAATTTCTCAGCATTCCTATGGTGCTGCTCATGGGTTCCCATGGGCTACAGTTAAGGGGAGACAGGGAGAAACACAGTTTTCTTTCTGCAAATCAACATGTAAATTTTGACCTTAAGCAAAGCTTCATTAAGAAGGAAAAAAAAAATCCACTGGCAGAATCTTTCCTTTTTTTCTGGGCGAGGTAGTCTCACCTGGATTTTTTTTCATTTTCTGGTATGGGAAATGGAACCCCAGACCTGAAACTGAGCTACACCCCCAGTGCCCCCTTTAATTCTGAGGCAGGAGCTCACTAGGTACCCAGCAGAGCTGAAGTGGCAGTCCTCCCGCTTCAGCCTCCCGGGTCACTGGGGTCATGGCGAGTGGTGCCTGGAAGTTGACCTTCCCCCCTGTGGGCACTGTGGGACCCTGCCTGTGGGCGTCTGTGTGGGAGACAGGTGGCGCGAGCTGCCTACTGGCCCGTTCGCTCATTTGCTGCGACGCCTCTCCCCGCAGCCATATCGTGTGGGCACCCCGGGGTCCCTGCCAACGCCGTGCTGACCGGGGAGCTGTTCACCTACGGAGCCACGGTGCAGTACGCGTGCGAAGGGGGCCGGAGTCTCACCGGCAACGGCACCAGAGTCTGCGGGGAGGACAGCCGCTGGAGCGGGGTGCTGCCCCACTGCTCAGGTGAGGCCTGTGCGCGTGCAGTTGCGCAGCTGCTGAGTGCCCCAGGGCCCTGGCAGCCCGAGGCGCGTTGTTACGGGTGGCTGCCCTGCCCACTCTCACAGTCCCGTTCCAGACATCAGGTCGCCGTCACCCTCGCCCCCAGCACTGGCGAAGAGCATCCTCCTCCCCAAAGCCGGTCTCTGGGGCTTCTGACCACCCTCGCTGGACACGTGCTCGCCTCCTCTCAGTCTGTCCCTGTCTGTGCTTTCATTCATGCCTGTGCGTGCGTGTGTGATTCTTCTCAAGTCTTCCACTTTCACCACTTCTAGCGTCTGAAATCACATTAATACGCTTTGGAAAGAGCTCATCACCCTAACCCTCCTATGGATGCTTCTATAATAAATCTCAGTGCATCGGAAACTCAGGCAAACTCATGAACCATCAGCCCCTCCACGACCCTCTTGTGTGCCTGCACCCTCGCCCCTGTCTGCTTTGCCATCTGCACTCCATCATCGACTGGGACCCGAACCTGCCGGGCCGTCTGCTTGGAGCAACTCTCACAGCCCCGCATTGTCTGTGTGCTCTGCTCCACAGGAAGCAGCCCCGGGTTCTGTGGCGACCCAGGGACCCCTGCCCATGGATCTCGGCTCGGGGATGAATTTAAGACCAAGAGTCTGCTGCGCTTCTCCTGCGAGGTGGGCTACCAGCTGCGGGGCTCCGCTGAACGCACGTGCCTGCCTGACGGGTCCTGGTCCGGGGTCCAGCCTGCGTGCGAGGGTGAGTGTCCGCGGCCTCCGCCCACCCTGGCCCAGCCAAGTGCCTTCCAAAGGCATCTGTAAGACTTGAGAGCAGCATCAGGCCCTGCGGCTCTGGTCCCTTAGTGCTGCCCTCACTGTTCCAAGGTCCAGCAACAATGCTGGCCCTCATGCTCTGAAGGTGACAGCACGTCCCGGGGTGCCTCCAAGTGGTTGTGCCAGGTTTCACGGCGAATGAAGGAGCTGAAGGGCGGTGGGCAGGAGCTGCACAATCAGCCAGGGGAATCTGTGGGCTGAGAGTTCCAATTCACACACATGTCCCGGCCACTCTTTTGCACGGACTCTGGGGTTGCATCGGTGTAGTACTTTGCAGTAAGTACTCTTGGTGGGTGACTGAAAGGTGGAACAGGAGTTGGAAGGTGTGTGGGCACAGCTGGAAAACTCAGTGGGTGCATGGTAGCATTGAGCTGGCATCGGCAGCATCTGTCTGAGGCAGACAAGATGCAGGCGTGGCTCAGGAGGGTGTGTTCTGGGTCCAGAAGAAACATTCCAAATGCAGACAGATAACACTACAAGTGCCAGGAATTCCTGGCAAACAAACTTCTCAATTAATTTTTAGTCTACAAAGATGATACAATTTAATTAAATATGTGTTCTGTGTGTGGAACACTTTCCACATAACAACATAGAAACTCTGCCCTAGGGGAAGGAATTCACAGATGTCACATAAGTGCCCTGCTGTTTCCAGAAGTGCTAGCCATGCTTCCAGGCCAGTCCCCTCCCAGGCTACGCTGTCCTCATGAGCCCCCTTCTCTGAGTCCACTAAAAACACCACATTCTGATGGGAAGCTTGGACAAACTAAAACAGAGGGAAAGTTCCTGGGTCATGAAAGAAAAATGCTAAAAATCTTTTTAAAGATCAAGTGATTTATATTCCTGTTTCATATTTTATATTTATATATCTCCACGTATTTCTATTAGATCATGTCTGATTTTGTTAGCAATATAATCTTTAATCATAAGCTCATCAACTTAGTATTTCAAAGGCCATATCGCATGAAGTCACTTACATAAACTACAACATGTCATTTTACTTACATTGGGCAACTTATAGTCTTTTCCTGTGACACTGGGATAAAGCCTAAGTTTGACTCAAGTAGTGGAAATGTAATAATGAAAGACAACAGCGTGAGCCACAGGCTAACTCAATGACCTTGTGGCAGGCAGGTTACATGCAGTGTATGTACCTTACAGCCGCTGGGGCGCGTCTGTCATCTCCAGCCTCAGTCAAAGGCATTATTGCCAAAGAACTTTACTCGAGCTGATCGATCATGCAATACGGAAGAGCAGAGTCTCACGTATTTAGCACGGTTTAGCTGAAGTCTCCCTAGTGCCCATGCTGCTGAGCTTCATGGGCCCTGGTGAAGAATGAAACACATTTCTGATGAGTATAGTGACTTTTTTTGTACATCAGGTAAAATAAAATTATGTTTTACCAAAAGGACTCACATTAACCAAGTATGCTTGAAGAAAGTGTACTTAAAAATGATAAGATCAGAGAGCGGAGAATACGGAGAAATTTTAAATGCCAGTTTAAAAATTACATTTTCTCTTCTAGGGACTCTGAATGTAATCTCGTGTTTGAGTCCTGTTTCTCTTGTTTTACACCATTATAACCTTCTCACATTGGTATAAAAATAGACGAGTGATCCTGCCTCTGATTTCCATTCTGATTGTAACTACCAGTGGGGGGAAAAGAAAGGAAAACTTCATCCTAAATTTTACTTTAGAAAAGAAAATACTTAGCTGGGTTCTTTCTAGTGTCATTAAAGGGGATTTTCTCAGTAGTAGGACAGTGCTGTTATAACAAGTATTCCCTGGAATATTTTTCACCAGTTATTTGATTACTTTTAATGCTGGTCCTTCCCAGATGACTTTTAAAGATAGTATATAGTGTACATAGCATGGTATACAGTATATAGTAATGGACTATAGTATGAAAACACCTGCATCTGGGTAGATTGATTCTTCCCTGGGAAGAAATTTAAAGAGACATCTGCCCAGCGCCTATTGCTACTAAGTGATAAATAAATGTTTGTTGAATGAACAATTGTCCTGCGCAGTCTGCTGCAATAAGGGTCTTAATTTATGTTACAGTTACCATAGGTCTTTCAGCTGTAAGGGAACCTTATGTATCATCTGCTTCTGGATGAGTAGATGTTTCTCAACTCACAGAGCAACCAGGAAAGCTGATAGACAGGTCTCTGTTAGAAAGGATGAACCCAGATTCATGAGGAAAGAAGAGGTGTGATTGATTAACTATGCCTGCTGTGGGCACCCAAGTGGAGCACCAGCCCGTGTGCTGAGTGCTAGGCTTTCAAAAAAGACCCAGCTCAGCGCATTTCCCCAGCGTAGTGAGACAGGCAATCTCCTGAACTTGCAAGTGTAATGACTTCTAAATGCTGCACAGATCTGGCAGCCTGCTTTCTTCCGTGTCTTTAAGGGAAGTACATCTTTGTTCTCAAGGCTGGCTCTGAGGAAGGAGCAACTAGCAGTGCAGAAGTTTGTTCAGTCGTTTCCCCACTCCCAGGCCGGCGCAGGACGCTTCCTCATTATGAAAACCAGCAGGGCCATGTTCCTTAACTGTCTGCTTGTTTCCCCAGCATTGCGAGGAGTTAAGGAAAAAATATACAAATTATTCTGGTAAATAAGCCCAATTTAGAAGAGCGAGAGGGAAGGCAGGATCAAATTCGCCCCCTGAAGCATGTCCAGCAGTGCTGCAGTTGCCTTTGGTCTGCTGGCCAAGGCACATGCCGCTGCCAAAGCCACGTGCAGTGCAGACTTCATCACTGTCACTGCCTGAGGCCCCACTGCCTGGGGGTGACATCAACCCACCCTGGAGAGCACTGGAAAGCCCCATCATCCAAGCCGGTGAGCACAGCTGCCATTCGATTTGGCAGCACTGGGGGCCTTTTCAACCTTCAGCTTAGTTCATCCCCATTCCAGGCGTGCTCTGTTTTCCAGTGCAGCCTCTTGGGTGTGATGTGAATCCGGTTCCCAGCATGTTCAAAGCCCTCGAAGTGAGGAAGGAGCTGCCAAGAGGCCCGTGTCCCATGGGTAAATTCTATCTGGGCACAAAAACGGGCTCGATCCCAAAGGAGCAGGGCTTTGTGTTTCTAATTCTTCACTCGTGTTTGGATTGGTTTGGCAGTGATGCACTTCAGAGAGGATAATGTGAAAATACCACATTGTGCGTTTGTACGTTCAGTAACGAAATCCATGAGTCTTGGTCAGCTACACAGAAAGCCCTTCCCGCGGACCCACCCTAGGACTGCGGCACCCCAAGCCTATGTCCTGGGCTCTGCTTGCTGAGGCCGGCACGGGCTGACCCTGGGTGCTGTCTGCTTCCCCCAGCCGTGTCCTGTGGGAACCCTGGCACACCCACCAACGGCCGCATCGTCAGCAGCGACGGCAGCCTCTTCTCCAGCTCCGTGGTCTACGCGTGCTGGGATGGTTACAAGACCTCAGGGCTCACCACGCGGCACTGCACATCCAACGGGACCTGGACCGGCAGCGCTCCGGACTGCACAAGTCAGTGCCTGTGGGTGCAGGGCCTCGGAGCCTCGGGAACCCCGTGTAACCGAGGGAAGAGTGTGATTCCGGAGAGGAAAGAAAAGGGATTGCCTACTGTGACTGTTCCCTCAGTACTTTTTGTTTGTCTGCTTCCGGACTGGGTCTAAACTCAGGGCTGTCACGCCGAGCTACGTCACTGACCTTTTCTTAGATTTTATTTTGGGAAAGGTCTTATTAAGATGCTAAGTTGCCCAGGCTGAGGTCAAATTTGAGCCCTTCCTGCCACAGGCTCCCCAAGCGCTGGGATTGAAGGTGTGCACCCCACACCAGGCTCCCAAGGTGCTGAAATAGCATTCTCTCTATAATTTAATAGTTGAGGCTACTTTAAACAGCCAGTTAAGCTTGGATATTGTAAAGCTGAAGCAAAAAAAAATCAAGATTTTCTCTGTCTGTAGATCATTTGTTCCCCAAAGAAATAAGATGTTTATTTCAGTGATGACAGCTGTGTATCTGTCCTTGACCAGCAAAGTGAGCTTTGAAGGCCAGGGGTGGCAGCTGGGGGCTGGGGGACGACGGGGGTGGGGGATTCCGAAAGCTCAGCCTCCTGCCAGTCAGGGCTCAGCCAGGTCACCCGCAAGGGCTGGCCCTCCCGATTCATGACTGGTCCTGGGAACGGACTCAGAGTGGCTGAACAGTGCTGTAGCCCACTCCCGCCATGGTAACTGCGCATCTCTGGTTCTTCCATTCTGCTCCCACTAGTTATCAGCTGTGGAGACCCAGGCACGCTGCCCAACGGTGTACAGTTTGGGACCGATTTCACCTTCAACAAGACTGTGAGCTACCAGTGCAACCCCGGGTACCTGATGGAACCTGCCTTGGCCTCCACCATCCGCTGTACCGCAGACAGTGCATGGAACCAGAGCAAGCCTGCCTGCAAAGGTGGTGGCCCCGTTGGTTCTGCTGTAACTGACAAGTGCAGAAGTCTTTGCGGGGCGGGGTTTGATTTCATTTTGTAGTCATTCATGCAGCTCTTCCTGGAGCTGGGGATTCTAGGAACTGCTAAGGGCCCATTTGCAAACACTGAGTCACTCGTATTTTCCGAATATGGTAACTTCAGTTTTGCACGTGGGAGACTGGCTCCCAGAAAAGCGCAGCCAGCAGCTCAGGACTCCAATGCAGCAGTAGAGAAGCAGCGCTTGGGTGGCCCGCATCCATCCCTGGCAGGGGTGTTGGAAGCCACAGGCATGGGTCTCTTGGAGGCAGGGAGCAGCAGGTGGCATAGCACACGTCCATGACTAGAACCGTGGGGCTGCAGAGGCCAGACAGGTGCCCAGGCGCCGGCCATGGCCCAGCACCCTGGGGCCGGTGCTAGGGAGGAAGGTGTCTTCCTGCCAGAGCCCCTCGGCAGTTCTTTCATTCCAAAAACTCTGTGTAGATGTTGCTCGAAATGCAAGAAACCCCAAACAGAAGTGTGGGTGGCAGGAGTGTGGCAGCCAGGTGCAGGGCGCGATGCTCACTGCTTGTTCTCTGTCCCCAGCTGTCCTGTGCAGCCAGCCCCCTCCCGTGCCCAACGGGAAGGTGGAGGGCACCGACTTCCGCTGGGGCTCCAGCGTCAGTTACAGCTGTGAGGACGGCTTCCAGCTCTCGCAGTCGGCCATCCTCTCCTGCGAAGGTCACGGGGTGTGGAAAGGAGAGGTCCCCCAGTGCCTGCGTAAGTTCCCCAGCACCCCGCCCTACAGATGGCGATGAGCCATCGCCACCCGGGTCGCGGGTCCGGAGCACAGCGGAGTGGAGTCACACGGAGTACCAGAGGAGCCGCGACCCAAAGCACAGCGAGTGCCTACATTTCAAACATTATTAGAGTAAAAGACACATTGCCATCGAGATCCCTGAGAGCCCACCCCTCGCTCTGAACGCACTTACCCCCTGCGTTTGCCACCTTTTGAAGCAGCGCTGGAGTCCTCCTTCCTGGGAGGCTTCGGTTGTGCTTCAGGTCCTGCATCCACTGGAAACATTTCCCTTTCATGGTGATTCAGACTCTGAGTAAGAGCAGAAGTCACGTGGGGCTGCTCTGATGAATAAGGTGGATGGGGACACAGTGATTTTCTTTTCCTTAAATTCTTTTATTGGTACATTTTAGGTACACAGTACGTTTACATTTATCACTGGGTGCTTGTACATTTACATGATGCATCTTGGTTCCTATTTTTACCCCATTACCTGTGCGCCCTTCACCCCCTCCTCCCTTCCCTATTTACAAAGACTTTGTTTCCATTTTTTTCTTTTATCATAATTTTTCCTTTCCCTTCTTTCCTTTCTCCTTCCCCTCCCACTTCCCTTACCCCTTTAGACCCTTTTCTTCCTATTTCAAAATATCAATTATTCATTTTAATCATTTTAATCCTTATTCACACTTTCAGTTTTTCACACTACAGAAACTATTCGGTACTTACACATGTGTGTCCTATTTATTTCACTTAAGAGCATGGCCTCGATATGCATCCATTTAGCTATAAATGTCTCTAGTTTGTCATTCTTTATGACTGAGTAGTATTCCATTTTATTTTTTAAAAATGCATCGTCTTTATCCAATTTCCAGTTGATGGGCACTTGGGCAGTTTCCAAGCTTAGGCTATTACAAACTGTGCTGCTATGAACATGGGTACACATATATCGCTGTGGTATGATTATTTTAATTCTTTTGGGAAAATACCCAGCAGGGGAATAGCTGGGTCAAATGGGACCTCCAGCCCTAGTTCTTTGAGGAATCTCCATACTGATTTCCACAGTGGTTGAACCATCCTGCACTCCCACCAACAATGGAGAAGGGTTCCTTTCTCCCCACACCCCCACCAGCATTTGTTATTGGTTGATTTCTTGATAGCAGCCATTCTTTCTGGAGTGAGGTGGAATCTCAGTGTTGTTT